GGAAACGATACAGGCATTACTGCCCGATTTCAAAGTCATAGGCAACTTCGGGTGACAACAGAGTTGAAATTCACATTTCTGGATGAACCACTGTATTTTCGGTGTTATTTCTTTCGTTTTACTTTTGAGCTTTTTTTTCAACCTAGGGTGGCATGGTGAAGGACAGTTTAATAATAATAATAATAATAATAATAATAATAATAATAATAATAATAATAATAATAATAATAATAATAATAATAATAATAATAATAATAATAATAATAACATAATGATATTAATAATAATAATAATTTTTGCTGCCACTCATGCAAGTTAATTCCGTATACGATAGGTATAGTAATTTATAAGCTACTTAATTCGCAGCTCTCCCTTGAAAGTATTGAGTGTAGCTTCCTCAAGAATACTTAATTCACCAGGCTTTCTTCTAATCATAATTGCTTGCTACCACCCATTCACACCAACTACGGTTATAAATTATCTAAACTCTCTACTATTCATCTTTAGAATAGTGTGCCAGTTGAACTTAAATCTGTGCTCCATTTTCACTAGTAAAACTTCAATAAAAAATTTTCTTTTAACTGCGAATTTCTCAGTTTAGCTACGGTATATAATTTTTTACCTTTCCTTATTTTTTGTGTTTATCCCTGTTTCCCCATTAAAATTCGTTTTTTTTAATTTCAGTATCTTTTGTGGACGTCTTATACTTGTATTCCGAATCAATTCTGTGTAACGTATTCGACTTTGCAGTGCATTGCTTTTTTTTACTATATGTCCCATTGAGACTTTCATTTTATTGTAGTATTTCATTTTTTATTTCCACTATCCTAGCATGTTGCTGATCGCTTTTCCTTGTAGAAGACTATTAGTACCATTTGCTCACCTTCTGTCAATTGTTTTCAATTCACTTTTGTTGTAGTTTTTAACTGAGGATTCGAATTTAAGTATGCATACTCTGGCACCCTCATTTGTATACAAGTGTTATGTACTTGATGCTTATGATGCTTATGTAGTATCTCGTGATTTACATTCTAAAACTACGATATTATTGAAAGAAACACCGTAGTGGAAGGCTCTAAAATTGTTGATGTCTTGGTGTTTTTCGATGTCCACTGACATCGCACAGTGCACGGGTCAATAGAATTTCACCTCCGGCGAATTGCAACTGTCACGGCCGCGATCGAACCTGTGACAATCGGAATATGATTTCCACCACTGCTCCATCGCACCGAACAACAAAGATCCGACAGACCTCCTTGAATTTCATCTTCACATCTCTCTCTCTATCTATCACCTCCGCTTGATTTGAGAGCATGCAAAGGAAAAGAGAGAATGAGGTTAACTATTTAGCATTTCAGTTAGACACCTTTTATCTCAGAAGAGTAACACGGTGCACATAACGCGAAGTGGTTGGTCAGCAAACTCGGGGAACCATGTTTTGTACAGAAAGGCGCTCGCACAACTCGTCCAGTTTCTGAAAACGCAGCATCGCCTTTAATATACTGATTGATTGATACGTAAGGTTTGACGTTCCGAAACCACCACAAGATTATGTGAGATGCCGTAGAGGAGGACGTCGGAAATTTCGACCACCTGGGGTTCCTTAAAGTGCTCCGACATCTGAGCACACGGGCCTACAGCATTCTCGCCTCCTTTGAAAATGCAGCCGCTGAAGCCGGGATTATATCCCACGACCTGCGGGTGCCTTTAATATACTGTAGCGCGATGAACGTAAAGCTGAGCCTATCCATTGTGCTCTTTTTTCTTTTGCTCGAATTGCGAAATGTTGTTTGCGAATTGCGAAATAGGATAGTCATCGCTTCACAATGACAGGAAACACTAGCGTGGAAAACTTGTCAGCGAGTTTTTCAATATCGCCACGACACGAAAACGCGAAAACGACTTCAGGTGTCTGCGTGTGGGCACCAATAAAAAAAGAGCTTGTGACCGTCTCTACTTTCTTTCTTTCTTTGTTTCTTTCTTTTTTTTCTTTCTTTCTTTCTTTCTTTCTTTCTTTTACAAAAGTAAATAGTATTTGCGCATCAGTGCACTCTGCATAGAACTAGCCGATTTCAGATGTTCACAAGGGTGAATACAGTGCTAGAAGAATCATTCAGAGCGTAGGACAAACACATCCTAACACTTTTGATGGGTTTTGTTCTTCGCTATGTATTGTTGTTCTACCACTGCTTTTACTCTTGAAATCACGGGCAGTTCGTGCAAATAATTTCTGCTTTTTCGAGATTCACGCTTACTGGCATTCTTGCGTTAAATGGGGTGACCACATGTTTTTCTGTCTCATGTGAATGTCTGTGAGCGTCACTTCAGAGGACTTGGAAGAGACGTCGCACTTCTATCCGCACAAACGTCATAGATATTAGTATACTGCGGACTCAGGTTGTGTGTTCGTATATATGCAAACTCCAGATCTCATTGTGTAAGCTTGGCAGCACAGACAAACATCACACGGAAGGAGCGGAACACCAGACAGCGCACCCCCATTCTTATGTGTCCCGTTTCTTTGAGGTGCCAAATTAACATAATGGATCTATACCGAATAGCTCGCCTATTAGCCCTTCTGAAGCTTTATTCTTAGTGACAAGTCTTTGCCACAATTCCAGGAGTGAGAAAGATGGTTAGCGTATCAGCCAGTCAGCCATGCAGTTGTCATTGAAGCAGGTGTTATAACTACTGTGACTATGTAGTTTGCCTTTGTTTCACACAATCACGCCGTTGTGCGCACAAGTGCAGCAGGCGGTAAATAACGTGCCAGTAGCATCTTCTTGGACTCAGATAATCAGAAAGAACTATTGCCAATTCGACATAAGTGACGCGAACAGTAGTAAACTAGGTTAACGCTTCATGAAGTACCTGATTTTGTAAAAAAAGCACTGTTTACTTGCTAAGAGGAGAGACATTCTGTTTCCAATAGACTCCGCTGTTCGCGCCAAAACTCAGCGAGCTTCAAAATCTGCCTAAGAGAGGGCAGTAGAAGTCCTACGATCACTGAAATTTGATTACTTGCGCGCGAAGAAGAGGACTGCGAAAAATGGTTGTGACATCCACACGATTTTTTTATTTACCATATGAGCTGGATCTGCTATATATAAAGAAGAGCAATATATGCGGCGTTTTCTAGGCGCATCGTCTGTGGCACACCAAACCCTTCATGCGTCGGCCTTGCAAAATGTACAAAGAAAAAAAGGAGTCTTTCGTTTGCTTCCACTACATGAAAAATAAAAAGACAAATTACAAAAGCACCACTCCAGCCCATGTGCCATTTCTTGTTTCTAGCATCTCACAATAGCAGACAAGACAAATTCACTTCAGTATAACCTTTCTTTGTATTGACTAAAAGTCTATCACGCCGCTTTCAAGGTCAAGTTTAGCAATTTTTTAACCCTAAATATATTGCATTGCGTTAAATTCTAACGTTGCCGTTAGATAGAGATGCTCGTGTTTGTGCAAGGTTGCATACTGTATTAAGACGTGTTTTGTGTTTTTTCTTTCTGTGCGTGTCTTTGTGCATGTGTGCTATGTGTTTTGTGTGTCCGTGCGTGCGTGTGTGCGTTAGTATTGGGAAAAATTATTGTGGTGCCTATTAATATAGAGCTGCTGCAGCCTTGTGGGTCCGTCGAACTGCTTTTGTCTAAAGATATGCACGTTCGAAAACACCTTTTGCATTATTACACGCACATTACGTTATGTAAACATCCAGGCTCAAAGCATACGAGGACATGTCTGCATTGTTCTTTATATTCACCTCTTTCGCGTCTATATGCTTGCATAAGTCCATTAAGAATACTTTGTGGTAGCAAAGGCAGTAGGAAAATAACCTATCTTCACGAGACGCCTCCCTATATAATAAGAAAAAAAAGAAAAAGAATGTCCACAGGCCACATGGGCGACAAGGTATTGGCAGGGTGAGGTCGCGTGTCACAGGAACTGAAAACAAGGCGCTGCCTTGAGGTGTCTTCGTGATTAAAGAACGTCTCAGAGATTGACACTGTGTATTGACATTTTGGGATACTAGAAAAAAAGATGTGCCTAAAAATAAAATAGTTAACGCCCAGAACACTGCTTCGAAAAATAAACATTCATCTCTCACTCTCTCTAACGTTTCACGAGGCCAGAATAGGGGGCTGTGATAACGTAGCCACTTCTAAATGTCGATTTGTGTTCAGAAACAGAGTACAAGTAAATGGAATGTGGTGTAGTCAAATAAGTGAAGTTGACGAAGACAGGACGAGGGTAGGATAAACAGAGGGAATATTGTGTTTGCGCGCATTCGCACTTGGTTTCATTCTTCTGCACTTGCGAGGTCACTCCAACCAATCGAGTTGTTCCGCGCAAAGTATCGCCGCAAAAATTGCTCCATATTTTGACCCTACACAGCACCACTTCCATTGCGTGTTCAAAAAAAGATGACTTCATGGAGAGAGCAGCACGTATTTTAGTTCAATTTGGAAATATGAGGACCAAGAGGCAACCGCAACTCTTGCCACGTCGCAGTCATGTGGTAGCAATCTGCGTTTGTTCAACGTAGGGTAGACACAAAAACAGCTACTTCACTAATTGCAAACCACTTTACACGGCTATACTGATAACGTTATTCATCATTTCACGTGGCTCGTCACTCGTATACGGTTATCAAACAGTTACTAGCCCTGCTGGGTTGAAAGCACAATACTATTTTCGTAATGCCTATATTCCTGCACTAAATGTCTTCAATGGAACCTTGTCGAACTTCAGTTTTGACCGTTCGTCGGAAATAAAAAAAAAAAAACGTGCCGTGGATCTGTTCACACTAGGATCGGCTAGGAGCGACACAGCACTTAACCGAAGATACAAAACAAGCTGTTTTACTCCCCCTTCCTTCTATAATCGCGAAGGTAACAAAGACGTTTAAGTACGCCTTCGAAGTACTTCAAAAGATTTTCAAGTACGTCGGTATCTTACAGTTACTTGTCACTAACATTTTAATAACAGTATACAGTGGTCACTAATAGTCTTTGGATTTTTAATCATGTAACAGCGATAGACACACATGGTTGACGTATGGACACATACACAGCATAGTCACCATTGGTAGTCCCAAACCACAATGAACTCAGCACAAACTCAACAAAGCCTACACACCACAATCTATACACCAGTATTGCCACTATTCATAAGTCTTACAGTAACTCACAGCAAGAAAAGACCTGCCATATATGCACGTTCCCGACACAAATAAACTACGTATCCACGACCACTCTTATTACGCAATCAAATGCAATAGAAGGATGCAAGTATACTGTGACTCTCGTCGTTCATAAAAAGAAAAAGAGAGTATAAAAAGTTAATTATGAGATCTACGTAGATTTTGTTTATACACGGAAAGAAACTTATTTTAAAAGCAAAGAATCAGTTATATCTCAAATTAAGCTGGCCTTATAAACATGCATGTCTAAGCAGCCCTTATGAATACCGATAATCACTCAGGCCATTACACAACATTGAAGCAATTTTTTAGTAAGCCCTAGTTTTGGTTCTTGTGTATTCGCTTGAAACCGAACCAAACTGTGACTGAACTGTCCCTCACCGGCAAAAATAACATACATCGGTAAAAATGAAAATGGCACTCTCCAAACTTTGAGCGATTGCACTTGTTAATTCTACTTTCTTCATATTCCTCGTCATCTTCTTCGGTGAAGTAACATAAAAAAAACCCTTAGAGAAACCCAATAAATACATGATGCATTAAACATTTTGTTGCACTTTATTTGACTAGGACACGAGCTGCCCTCCATTTTGGGCTCCGGACAATTCAATCCCGAAACAGTCAACCCTAACCAGCCGTCACTATATAGTCTCTAATTAGCTGAGTGAGCAGATATTTTGAAGCAGTGACGTTTTCGCTTTCACAATTTCGCGAAGCCCTTGTTTGCGCTCCAGGCAACTGTCACGGTTGAGTGCCCTTGAATCTCGCCAGTGAGAAAGCGCCACATTGGAAGACTGCGGTATAAATAACCACACGAAGTGAGCATGCTCTTTCCGTTTTCCTTTTTAAAGATGCGTGGCCAGCGCCGTGGAGTGAGGCTCTCCGTCAGAATATGGAGGTTGATGAAGACACCCACACACACGACCTGCCGCTGGCGTTCTGTAGCCAATGGTGGGAGCGTCAAGCGAACAGCTCAGGTGGGCACAGTGCCTCCAGAGCATATGAACTGGATGCCGCTGTTGATGTCCCTGCCGTTGACCATGTTGTCAGCGCAGAAGTACGGCAACAGCACGCCACGGTGAAGCAGCGCGGCCACGTCTTTGGCAGCAGGTATGCAGGGCACCAGCACATACACTAGGATGTACCAAAAGGCAGCAAACGAGGCGACCCAAAAGGCGGCGAAGATGAGCAGCAGCAGCCAGATCAGCATCCAGCACACTTTGGCACCACCGGAGCTTGCCATCACACGTGCCTGCAGCGAGAAGCGTTCAAGGATACGTGTCAAGAGGTGTTACCTGAACATGTTACAATAAACTGTGGAATGTCTATATAGGCAAGTGTGGGATTATCACAGGATTTAGCCCTTTCAAACAGATTGAAAAATTTCTATAGCCCTTAAGAGTGTGCGTTGAATGCACAAAAGAAAAATAAATAAAAGCAAGAGACAGGCAGGTTAACGTATAGAAGAACTAGTTGGCTACCCAGTACCGGGGTGGAGAAATAAAGGTCAGAAAAGGAATAGACATAGAAAGCGACAAAAAATTTGCAAAAAAAATACATCTGCACACACATGCAGGCGTTCCAATCACAATCGTTTGGAGAGACCGGTTGAACGCAGGAAGCTCAGGAGCACCTTCACGGTCTTCTTCTGCTGTTTTAAGAAATTGGCTCAAGCACGCACCGACATGGAAGTGTATGTGGAAATATTAGTAAGATACTATTATAATAGCAATAATAGTAGCTGGCATAAGTGTTATTCTGAATCATACAGTTATCTTGCATATGAGAGACAGAGAGAGAGAAGCGTTCGTTATTGGAAAAACATTTTTTTGCCGGCGTGCATATTCATTGGCATGCTACTCTGTATAGGGATGGGAAATATAATTAAATGATTCTATAGGCAAGGAATAGTACATATGAAGAGAGAAGAAACAAACAAACAAGAAATGCGCAAAAGAATACGCAAAAAAGTTAGTTTTATTTTTCTTCTCAGCTGGCATATGGATAACAGATACGTGCCACTATCTTGAATACGCGGACTGTTATACACCGCATTGTAGTGATGTATTGCGTATATTCACATGTCGTGGGGTCATAAGTGAAAGCGTAATGGGATTCAGGGGTCTGAGCTTTTACTGTACCTTTTCCATAGGAGAAAGGGAAACATGATACTGGTTGATGCCGTACAGTAAACAAAAGAACCCCTTGTTATACGGCAGCCAAATGATTTCGCAGGACTTCTTCAGCTTGACAACTAGACGTGCTTTATCAGCAAGTTTTTTTTGAAGTGGCTTCACAGAATATGCATAGTTGGTGAACATGGTCGTGAAAAAATTATCTGAATCGGGGCGCACAGTGTAGGTAAACACGTGGATTCTAACCCAAAGGAGTGATTCGAGGGGCACAGAATGAATTATTTCTACCCGAGGTGCTATGCAGAATGGTCCGAGCTTCTCGGGCGGCCGAGTTTGCTCCGAGCTCGCTTGCGGTGGCTGTGGCATGAAGACAGTGCGGAGTGCGAGATAGCAGCGTTGATAAAAATAGATAGATAGATATGTGGAGTTTAACGTCCCGAAACCACTATATGATTATGAGAGACGCCGTAGTGAAGGGCTCCGGAAATTTAGACCACCTGGGGTTCTTTCATCATCATCATCATCATCATCATCATCATCATCATCATCATCATCATCATCATCATCATCATCATCATCATCATCATCAGCCTGACTACGTCCACTGCAGGACAAAGGCCTCTCCCATGTTCCGCCAGTTAACCCGGTCCTGCGCTTGCTGCTGCCACTTTATACCCGCAAACTTCTTAATCTCATCTTCCCACCTAACCTTCTGTCTCCCTCTAACCCGCTTCCCTTCTCTGGGAATCCAGTCAGTTACCCTTAATGACCAGCGGTTATCCTGTCTACGCGCTACATGCCCTGCCCATGTCCATTTCTTCATCTTGATTTCAGCTATGATATCCTTAACTCCCGTTTGTTCTCCAATCCACTCTGCTCTCTTCTTGTCTCTTAAGGTTACACCTACCATTTTTCTTTCCATTGCTCGCTGCGTCGTCCTCAATTTAAGCTGAACCCTCTTTGTAAGTCTCCAGGTTTCTGCTCCGTAGCTAAGTACCGGCAAGATACAGCTGTTATATACCTTCCTCTTGAGAGATAGTGGCAATCTACCTGTCATAATTTGAGAGTGCTTGCCGAATGTGCTCCACCCCATTCTTATTCTTCTAGTTACTTCAATCTCGTGGTTCGGCTCTGCGGTTATTACCTGCCCTAAGTAGACATAGTCTTTTACAACTTCAAGTTCACTATTACCTATCTCGAAGCGCTGCTCCTTGCCGAGGTTGTTGTACATTACTTTCGTTTTCTGCAGATTAATTTTAAGACCCACCTTTCTGCTCTCCTTGTCTAACTCCGTAATCATGAGTTGCAATTCGTCCCCCGAGTTACTCAGCAATGCAATGTCATCGGCGAAGCGCAGGTTACTAAGGTATTCTCCATTGACTCTTATCCCTAACTGCTCCCATTCTAGGCTTCTGAAAACCTCGTGTAAGCATGCGGTAAATAGCATTGGGGAAATTGTGTCCCCCTGCCTTACACCCTTCTTGATTGGTATTGTGTTGCTTTCTTTATGAAGCACTATGGTAGCAGTTGATCCCCTGTAGATTTCTTCCAGAATGTTTATATATACTTCATCTACGCCCTGATTCCGCAGTGTTTGCATGACGGCTGATATTTCTACTGAATCAAACGCCTTCTCGTAATCTATGAAGGCTATGTATAGTGGTTGGTTATACTCTGAGCATTTCTCTATTACCTGATTGATAGTATGAATGTGGTCAATTGTTGAGTAGCCTGTTCGAAATCCTGCTTGTTCCTACGCCATCGCTGTGAGCAGCGATGGCGTAGTGGTTAGAGCATCCGCCTCGCATGCAAGAGGTCCGTGGTTCAAATCCCGGTACCGCGCAGTTCCCAACCGGATTAAAAAACAAAAAAAAAACCGCGTTTTGATGGAACTGCATTAGGAGGCCTGGGGTGCGGCCTCACCGGCAAACACCGCCGAGAACGCACTCCCTCACCAGAGAAGGATTGGCCACCCTGGTGCAGTATCTGGCCACTACCTCCCACATGCTTACGTCAAATAACTCGCGGGGTTCTTTAACGTGCACCCAAATCTGAGCACACGGGCCCTACAACATTTCCGCCTCCATCGGAAATGCAGCCGCCGCAGCCGGGATTCGAACCCGCGCCCTGCGGGTCAGCAGCCGAGTACCTTAGCCACTAGACCACCGCGGCGGGGCTTGATAAAAATGGTTGCATGAACACGCGTGACGTCGGAAACGCACGTGGGACATTTGCGGCGGTTATCAAAGAAACACCGCGTGCGAGCACGTCAGCGCCACCACTCGCTCAACATTTTAGCATTGCAGCGACGTAAGCGTGATTGCCGAGCTGTCTTTCTACCAACTGAACACGCACCTCCCACAGGCGTGTTCGTGGGCGTGTCTTCTTTTTCGCACAGTTTCTGTTGTTCTCCCTGAAACATGGAAATTTCCACTCTCGAATGCAGCAAGGGTGCACACGACGCACTCTCGTGCTGCTCATTTCGTTTCTATCAAGTATTGCAGATAAAATATAAGTACAGGTGGTCACCAGGGGCACTCGCGTCTTGTCGGCAATGCGGCTGTGATTGAATGAGCCGTAAGCGCGGTGAAATAGGTGACCACTAAAAGAGCGAAGGGATTGTGGGATTCACCGTCTGCTACCGACTTCCGGTTCGAGAAAAGTAGACGCTGGTGAACCGCTTTGCCGCAAGCCTCAGAATATTCGGGATTTGCGCTCGTGGTACCCGTTTATCTTCGTCCTGATAAACCATGCTTGGTTGTTGAGCCGTTGGCTGCTCAAACTCAAGCGTGAAAGGCGAACACATGAATCGATTGCCACGAAACGAAGAAAGAAAAATGAGGAGGGCCGTGCCACGGTGACAGGTAGCCTTTGAGCATACACGGAACGTTAAATCAAACTATTAAACGTATTCCTGATTAGCAGAACACTGATTGTCATTATATTAGTAAGGGCTAATTAACATAGTTTTACTGAACGTCCTTATGATTAACGTTGCATTAATTAGCATAGTTCAGTTAGCTCATCAACTAGCATACTTCAGTTAGCCCGGTTCTAGCTTTAATGACTTCAATAGCATGGTCTTAAGATGTGGCGTAATTGCTTCAGCCTTGCCATGACTCGGCATAGTTAGCTTGGCCATAGCATGTCCTGGCATAACTATTCAAGTATACCATCCAGCTAAAACATCCCTGCATATACATGGAGGGAACGATGATGATTGGGGCGAAGCTTCGGAGAGTTTATCGATATAAACTGTGAATCGTTTTTCTGTTTGTCCATCTGTCTGTCCCTCCCTCCATCCGTTCATCTGTACGTCCGTCCACACCTGCTGAGTGAGTCACCAAACTAGGCGGTCACGTACCACGAGCTAGGAGGGACAGACACACGGCTTTAGGAGCTTCACCCCTATTATAGCTAATTAGCCAGCCACACATGCTCGGGTGTTAGCTGGCGATGACAACAAAGACGACGCGCGCCGGCCGAGCAGCGTGCTAAAATGTACGTACATGCTGGCCGTGATGATTAACACGTGGCCTCGTGTTTAGCAGCAGTTGCGATGTGGTAAGACGCTCGGCCGGTACTGATCTCAGAGGCTGTCAGGCTGATTATTCTAACACACACTTAGTGCATGCACTAAAAGCTTCAGAAATAGAGTAAACACCCCATGCCTATCAAAAATACTATCTCGAAATGTTTCTGACGCTTTTATTTTATGGGTGCAATTCTGCATTCACTGGAACAACAAACAAATCAAAGAAGATGCATCTGGTTTGAAAACACCACCCAACTTAGTCGACCGTCCTTAACGCGATGACTGGTTCCATCATAGCCTATGGAACGCAGCGTGCTGAGGGGTAGATTTGACTTTTTCGGACTGTTGGCTCGTTCATAAGGGGGTGTCGCCAGAGCTCGGCAAGACTCCGAGTTTCGCGAACTCGGGCGAAACTCGGCCGATCCTGCATAGCGCCCCCGCTGCGGCAGCCGAACACGTGCGCTCTTATATATAACAGTTGTCGTTACTATGGTAGGTTGTTAAACGGCCGTTTGCGAGTGCTCCCAGGTAAAACGTTATTGCAACCATCGTAATGTAGAAGTCGCCATGTTCACTTCGTTT